GGCCAGTCACAAGTCCAGTCATAAGTCCAGTCACAAGTCCAGTCACAAGTCCCTTCACAAGGCCAGTCACAAGTCCAGTCACAAGTCCAGTCACAAGTCCCTTCACAAGGCCAGTCACAAGTCCCTTCACAAGGCCAGTCACAAGTCCTGTCACAAGTCCTGTCATAAGTAATAGGGTGAACAATGACAAGGGAACGCTTTTGTCACAGCTCATTTGAATAGCTTGAGAATTGGCTAAAAACTGAATGACTTATGATGGACTTATGATGGACTTACAGGGACTTGTGACAGACTCGACTACAGCACTGAGTTGCGGCACTAGCACAGTCATGCTACAGACCAACAGCATGATAACATGTGAAGAATGCACCGTCAGCATGACTTGTTGATTTGGGAAACCTTCCCAGAGGACTTTTGAAGGTTGTCTCCTAGCCTAAGTATCCCAAAGCTTCACAGCCGTCCCCAAGACGTTATATTAACTCACTGTTTAATGACTCTGTATAGGACAACCCAGGGTAGGACGTCTTGAGGGAAGTGGCCGTCTGTGTCCATACACATCTCAATCGCGCTGATGATTGCGCTCGTCAGCCGAATGCGTTGGGGGCGCTCCAACTGCTTCAAGCTGTCCACATCTTCACAGAGAGCCCTGTTAGAATCGCATCAAAATGAGATAAACTCCTTTGATTTCTGATGATCCTCAATGTACACAACAAATGTAGATGAACACAACGATGGCCAATGTCAACACGTGGGATTACTGCCTCTCAAGATGACTTACTTGTTGAAGATCTCAAACAGCTCCAGGATGACGCTTATCCATTCGTCCCGCACGGGCGGCGTCTTGGCAATGGGAACCTCTTGCAGTGCCTCGCAGATGCCAGCAGCCCCGCAGATGATGCATTGCTGTCAGGAATAATACACCTATAAGAACTCCAATCTGGATCAGTCAGGGTGGGTGTTCATCACGGCTCAGCTGCTTTGGTTCTGACTGGTAAATGTGCTCAAAAAGATTCCCTGGCATGGGCACACGTTAGGCCTGTACTGATGATAAAAGGGCACTCTCTTTTCCACTATTCATCAATACCATGGGAAATCACGAGAGTCCAAACCTCTGTGTGCCATTGTGGTGGCTGTCACTGTTACTATGATTACCATTGTCATTAAATCTGTCACAGTCACTACTGCTGTCACTGTCACAGTCATTGCCATTCAGTGCCAGTGTCCTTTCCAATGTCATAGCTGGTATCTGTCATTGTCAGTCAGTGCCAGTGTCATTGCCACTGTCGTTGTGTCACTGCCAGCATTACCGCAACGGCCGTTGCCGTAATTCACTGATGAATACCTTGTAGTCACCGAGTTTGAGGAGCGACCGATGCAGGAGCAGTAGCTGAGAGGGCCTCTGGGGTGTGGCTCCTTCCTTGAGGAGTCGCCTGCTGGAAGTGGCCGTGTCTTGGAATGTCGGAAGGAGGAGCACAGTCACCCGCTCATAGTTCCCGGCATCATAGAAGCGCTGGACCTCCTCCAGGGACTGGCTGTGCTGGGTGGACTTCAACTGCTCCTTAATCAGGTCTGAATGTAGGTTTCAGAGGAAAAGAGTTCAATTACCACATGCATGCTGTGGACCATGGCCGTACACAAGTCCATTTCTAAATGTCCAAGATGACTGAAGGGTGAAATGGCTCTTCTTTACATTACATTCAACCTTTAACCTTGCACAAGTCTGCACTGGCCTGTTTTTGTTCCCTGTACAAACCTTGGACTGTCTGGTTTTGTAGATTCAGTAGAAAAATAATGCAGTGTAATACAATGTAAACAAGTGTTGATGAATTACACATTCACGTTCACATCTGGGCCCAATTTCACGGCGCTGCTTACCGCAAGCGAAAAATCGGCGCTTACCGTAGCAGAAAATTCTATGCTTACGGCGAACGTATTTCATGGGTTAGCAAGGAATGTTGGCTTGTGCGCATGCGTACATCCCGTATACAAGTCTTCTGTGCTTAAAGTGCAGAATTTCTCTGTTTGCGCGGTTAGCGCAGAATGGAGATTGTAAGCGAGGAATTCTGCGGTAAGCAGCGCCATGAAGTTGGGCCCTGTACACAAATTGGCCAAAGTTTGGAACGACCAAAAGGGTGTTTGATATTTAGCAAACTGGGCCAGTAAGGGTTCAGTAAGGGCCGGCGACCATTTAGACCCGGTTTGAAAAGGGCCCCCCCGGTAGCCCACCCTGTATAATGCCTGCCCGGTATTCAGGCTACTCCAGGTCGGTATCAGGCCTGTCTGCACATCGGTATTTCAAAGTCCCTGATGAAAGGCTCCCCCCACCATGCTTCCACAAATGAATAGGGGTCTAAGCGGATTAGTGTAAAAATTGTACAGAGCTGAAGGATTAAAAACCACAAACAGGTTCCTTCTGGGGTAGATTAAATGTACCAGTACTTGCAAACAACAGGCCCCAGGATGGAGAAGTTCGAGATCAACAACCAGTCCAGCATCCCAGGCCGGTAGCCAGGCCGGTATGAAAGGGGTTTTTGCAACAGGGCGAGCTTACCGGGGGGCGCTTTTCAAACCGGGTCTAAATGGTCGTCGGCCCTAATCTGGTTTCTTCCGTAAGCTCGTTTGTTAACATCTGGCAGGAACCTGCTGAAAGTTGTACTCAACTCAAATATGAACTAAACATCTTCCTTACCGACTGTGATGCGGTTATCCACTTTGCAGTTGGGAAGAGTGATGACCCTTTCTGTCCCGTCCTCTCCAACCCAAGGTTCACTTAATATATCTGTGCACTGAAGAACAACCAAAAATGGAATTTAAAACAAGTATTAGCAACTTTGCTCATGATATCAGGACGCACAGAAAAGCTATGTCTAAAACAGTACTGTAGTCGAGGCCTGGCACAAGACCAGGCACAAGACCAGACACAAGATCAGACACAAGACCAGACACAAGA